CATTGGAAGTCCATATAGTGAAAGTTTAGATAAAAATGGTCCTATACAAGTAGTATCTACAAATGCAAGTTCAAACGATAATGTTGAAAGTATGGAGCTTGCAGAAGATATAAATACAGTAGATGATAATAAATCTACAGAAATTGATATTGAATTGAATGTAGAATCAAAGAAAGCTTACGTTCATGCAAGTAATGCAAATGTAAGCATCGAAATGGATGTTTCAAATACAAAGGAAAATATAAATGAAAATGAAGAATCTGAACAAAATGATATAAATCAACGTATAACTGATGATCAGTATGACACGAAAAGTAAAAGTGATAACTTAAATACGTCAGAAAATGTACATGAAAATGATGATATAAGTTGTATAAAATTGATTTCATCTCCTAAATTAAGTAATATAGATACGTCAAATTTAGTGGATGTGAAATCAGTTTCAGATACTCAACATTTAACTATTTCAAAGCATGAGGATGTACCTTGTTTAAAAGACATAAGTGAAACAAATAATTTATCTCCTAATACGAGCAATTTGTTAAAATCCTCAGATGCTCATATGAGCATAGAGGATTCTACATTAATTAATATGAATGAAGCTAATGTAACTAATGTGATTAAAAGTAGTGACTCTTCCATTGTTACAGAGACTGCTGCTGAATTTGTTGAAGAAGCACCAGAAAGAGGAGAACAGTCAAAGAAAGTTTCTGTACTGGATAATTCTACTGATCCTTTAAAATTGAAGAAACAATATCAAAACAAATTAGAATCAAATGAAAAACATACAAACACTACCCAAGTGACCTTTGAAGAATGTCAAGAAAATATAAAAGCTGATGATAACGATTCTGATACTAGTGTGTCACATACTTTTCAAGATATCTCAGCCAGTGAATGGAAAGAAAAGAATAATGATATGGACAAAAATTCTATACATTCAAAGACAACTGAAAATGAAAGTGAAGCCGAATGTGATCTTGTTTTAGTCGATAGAGAGGCATGGTTAACCGCGGAAAATTTAAAAACAAACAAGGAGAAAATATCTTTTGATTATGATTCAGATGATACCGTTATATTAAAAGCACATTCAGATTCTATGAAAGCAAAAAATGAAAATAATTTAATGGATATATCACAAGATGAATGTAAATTAAATGATAGTAAGGATAAATCTCTCAAAGGAAAAAAACGGAAGAACACGAAACAAAACGAAAATAACGATGAAGAAGAAAATAGAAATGCAGTAGAAGATACAAAAAATATTACAAAAGATGTAGAAATATCAATTAATGTTGGTGAGAATACGTCTACGACGAAAGATAGTAATAAATACTCTACTTCTAACAGTAATATGTCCCTCCGGAAATCGTTAAAAAATAACAGTTTATCTGAATCATATGAGACAATTGAAGGGGAAGAAAATGTATCATTAAATAAAAGTAAATTGTCTGAAGATGTCCCAAAAGGACGAAAATCTCTTAATAAGTCAGTGCAAGGGGCAAATAGACTTGATGAATCTAATACAGCTGAAACTGTAAATAAACTGAAATCTTTAAATAAATCTAATTGTAATGAAAATACAGTTACATCTGCTAAGAAAAATGGGACAAATCAGTCGTTAAATACTTCAAAGGAAAAGATGAAACCACAACAGTTAGATGAAAATTCGGAAGAGTCTGACTATGATGTAAAAAAAGTTCACGAAAAGCAAAACAGTGCAACAAAGAAAAGATTGAATAGAAATTTTTCGACAATAGCAAACATGGGATCCGATTCTAATGAAACTCAAAATTCCGATGATTCACAAAATAAATTGGAAATACCTAAGTTTTTATTTTGCGGGACAAGCGATAGTAACAGCGACAATGATAATGAATCTAATAGCACTATAGATTCTGATGTCCAAAAAGAATATAATTTTTATGGTAAAGATGTTGCAAAGTTTTCTGATGATGATGTACCAGGAGATGAATGTAGAGCATCAGAAACAGAATCATCAGACCCAGATGATAATGGGTCAGATCTTGCAGATTTTGTAGTTGATGATGATGAAATTGAAGATGAAGAAGAAGATGAAAGTGAGGAGAATAAAGATGAGAGTATTGAAAATGATAAATTACAAAATGACGAGCAGACTAAAGAAGATCAGAAAGATGATGAAGAAGGGATAGGACAAGAAACAATTCAGAAAGAACAACATGAAAATGATAAAGAAAATATCGCTGAAAAAAATGTAAGTAAGGAGACAGATGCTTCTAATGAAGAAAAAAATACATCAAGAAAATCTGGTGATTTAAGTATGTCTCAAACCATTAGAAGTGACAAGAAAAAGAAGAAGAATCTTAAAACAGATAGATCCCAGATAGAAGAAAATGAAAAGGGAGATAATTACCTTGATTTATCTTTTGAAACAAAAAGAAAGAAACAAAAGCGAAACTCTACAGAATTTGCAGTTAAAAGTGTAGAACAGTCATTAAATGACTCCCAATTAATATTTGATACAAAAGTATTAAAACTTCGTAAATCAATGGAATGTAGTACTCCCAAAATAAGTATATCTAAACAAGAGAAACTTAATGTCAAAACCTGTGGTGCTGAAGAAAATGACTCCCTTGATGAGGAAAATGACAAAGACTTGACATTAAAGGAAGAACAAAATGTAAAGAAATTAAGAAGCATAAAAAACAATGAAACTCTCATGCATAGAAGTCTTCCATCTGAATTAACTGACTTAACAACAAAAACAAATCTTTCAAGACCAATGTCATCTAAAGTACCAGAATTAAACAAATCAACAATAGTTTTAGGGAGTGAAACACCTACAACAAAGTACTTAAGACAAATGAAATTAAATGAAAGTGCACCAATATTAAATGCTAATTTTAAAAAATTAACAAATACTAGTAACAGTAATGAACAGAATGACCAAGGTGAAGAAGAAAATGAAAACAATGATGAACAAAACACAAAAGCAGCACCAGGTCCAAATGATTCATTAAAGAAAAAGCTGCTTAAAGTAGCAGAGAACATATTAGAAAGTGATCGTCAAAAGAAACGTAAAAAACGAAAGCAACCAATAGTTGAAAAAGTTACTAAATCTACTTTATCTGAAACTGATTTCCCAGAAAATAATGATTCAAAATTACTAAAGACAACTAAACAATTTGTTCCCACTAGCAATTTTGACAACAATGATGAAACAGAAAAGGAAAATAAGAAAAAAAGGAAGAAGAAGAAGAAAAGAAATAATACCGATGTGCAAATGCAAGAAGGATCAGATGAACAAGTTACTGAAATAAAATCAGAAAGTCAAGATGAAAAAATACATAACGAAATAAAGAAGAAGAAGAAAAAAGAGAAAGAAGTTCGAGATGTTCAAGACGTTCAAGATTCGACAAATGAAAAGACTAAAATGATAAAGAAAAAGAAGAAAAAGGTTTCAGTCGTTTTATCAGGTGACGATATTCCAAATGAGCAACTGCATAAGAACAAGCAGAAATTATTAGCAAAAGATACTGTTTTGCAAGAGAAAAAAGCATTGCTTGAAAAGTTGCCTAAGAAAAAAAGGGAATTATTGTCAGAAGATGATGCTTTGCAATATGAAGAAGTTCCACCTAAAAAGGTTCCTAAGAAAAAGCAGAAATTATCAAGTGATGTTTCAAATCAGGAGGAAAACACTTCAGTTCAAAAATCATCAAAGAAAAAGCAAAAGCAATTATTAGAAGGTGTGAAGACAGATAATATAAAATATACTGTAGCATCTAATAAAACACAACAGTTTTACGATGCAGTATCAGATTCTGATGAGGGACCAGAAACGATTACATTCTCTAAAGCTCGAGATGAAGCGTTAAAAGATTTAAAACGTACTGCTGATAATATTAAAGCCAACAAAGAAGCGAAAAAAAAGAAACAAAGAGAACACAATGAAAAGATGCAAAAACAAAAAGAAATTAAGATTAAACAATCGAAATCCAAAAATCAGGTAGCAGAATTTAGTAAAACGGACATACAAAAAAAAGGTATTAAAAAGCTTCCGGATTACGTTGTTAAAAATTTATCGGATGTTCCATTAAAATCATCAAAAAAGAGAAAATTATCAGAAGAAAAATCTTCCCTATCTCCAATGTGCAGTTTCAAACCTAAAAAGATGAAGAATATGTACATAGAAGATGATATTACTCTACCAAGTTGTGCTGGAAATACAACTGAATTTAGTGTCGTCGATATTGAAACAATTAAAAAGAAAAAAAAAGCTCCAATAGCGGGTTTATTCCGAGAAAAAATGCTTGCTAGGAATCCACGACAACATATTTCTGCTTATTTAACATATTTGCAAAAGCAAAAGTCATTGGATAAAGGAAAGTTTTATGATAAGCCATACTAAACTTTTAATTGATATTCCACGTTATATGATCTGTAGGCATTATAGAATAGTTTCAAGTATTAGTTATTAAAGCGATCTTTTTTTTTTGCAATGCAATTCGGATAAAAATGATTAATACATTGCTTACTATTTCCAGAATTATCTTAATAATACTGATTATTCTAATGCTTACATATTCGCTTTTTTATTGTAATTTCGAAAAATTGAAAGATACTAAACTAAAAGTCGTTTTACTTTTGGTTTTAATAATTATGGTTATTTTTCATCTTGTAATTTATTGTTAGTATAAAATAATGTACCATATATTTTTTAATATAAAGTGCGATTACATTTTAGTCAAAATCATATTTTTATTGGTAAAATGTCCAAGTATAAAGCATCCGTATTAAACTTTGCTTACTTCATTATAACTAATTCGCTCTATATGGTAAATTAAGATGTAGTATAAAAATAAAACAATATAGATATTCGTTTTTGTTCGTAACTCCTAACTTTATCATGTTTATTATTGTTACATTTTTCAAATAACCCCTATTCTGTATGATAATATATCGTCTTTATAGAAACAAATTTTTAATATTTAAGATGAAAATAACGAAAATCAATCTAATTAAATTCGATATTCTCTTTAATTTCTTGTCCATTTCGTAAATGTATGTGCTACATCCAATAGAGCTTATATATATTATAAAGACTTTTATTAAATTTACAAGGAATAAAAAAGTTTATTAATAATACAATATTTGTACATTTTTATAAAATAATTATCGAATGGAAATTAGTCGGTACGAGACTTTTCTAGTTTGTCATACATTTCTTTACAATTCATATTACTAGAAAGATAGTTCTTTAATAATTTCCTTTTAAATTAGTATACAAATGATAAAATTTTTTATTTTTAAGTGCGTATTGTATAATCTTCAGGTATTTCTCTCTTCAGATTCAAAAAACAAGCACCATTTGCTGCATTATTTTCTCCCGCAAATATAACACATGCTAAACCATTCACTGCCATATGCTGCCATAATTTATATACCCATTTATTTACAGTGCGGAACGTCTTTTCTATTTTATCACTTTTTAATTTTTCTTGTCCTATCCTAACATGACATAAAGTAAAGGCATGTTCCATGACTATTTGTGTAGCTCGCAAGACGGCTTGTTTATTATTGTCTGCCACTACAAGACGTACCTGTAATAACAATAAAATTGTGATAATACGAATAGTAGACATTAATAATTCGAATAATCGATTCCTTAATAATTCAATTTATGGTTGAGGCACACACTTGATCGTTTTTGTCGAAATTTTCATCATCCATAATGTTGATAGAAGAAGTTAAATATCTAGAATATTCGTTCATAACTTCTCCATTACCAACAATGGCAGCAGTTTTTTGATCCTTCGTTACATGTTTGAAAATTGATGTAGCATACTTCCGTATTTCAATTTTTAATGATTGCTGATTATCTGTCCTTTTCTCTGGTTTCATTTTCAATATTTCCATGTTGCAACGACCAAGTAACACAGCATCTCCATAATCCACACTATTTGCTAATTTTAATTGCACTAATTTCATAGAAGCCTGTGAATCTTGAGTTGAACAATGACCAGAACTACTTTCTTGTATTCTTTCACCAAGAAATTCCCTTGCTAAAATTTGTAACTTTGTCTTCCGATATCTGTAATTAAATATTTGCATAGGAAAATTTTTGTGAGAATATAACTGTAATATAAAGAAAATAAGTTGTGCACCTGTCACCAGTAATATTGAAAATAACAGATGTATCAATAATGTATGGATGCATCATTTTTAATGTATGAAGATCAGAATTTAAACTTTGTCCTACTAGAATTGCATCTGCGGGAAGTAACTTTCGTAACGTTTGTTGAACATCAGACAACGTAGTTGTGACACCTTCCAACATTTCTTTTGTTATACCACTGAATTGAGTAAGATAATCAATGATACGATTATCTGGTTTTACCAGACTATCATAAATAACCTGTGACAAGAATTTAATAGAATTTGGATACCCTCCTCATAATAATTTTGAAATTGAACTTACATTCATACTTTCATCCACGAGAGATATTCTCGTTAATTCCAATTCTCCAATAGTTGTTTTACACATTTCACAGTCTAGACCAAACATTGGAGATCTTTCATTAGCTTCTACATAAACATCCTTTGTCATTATGTAATTTCCGTATCTAAACATAAAATATTTATTTATTTAATGTATAAATTTAATTCGGAATATTTTTATTATTGGTACTAACTTTTTTGCTAGTTCACCCTTTAATGGGACAGGATAATTTTCTTCTACCATTTGACATAAAGATAGAAGTAATAGTGTACGGGGGAATTTATCAGTCTTTGGGAGGCCATATTCTGTTTTAAACTTTTCCGCATTTGTTGATGGATCTCTATGCATTGGGAAAACAGTCAGTAATAATTTTATTACATCGCTGTTATTTTGTAATGCAGCCTCTAATGATCCATATTCTAAAAAATTATACACCATGTATGCTTGTTACATATTATAACAAATAGTATTTTAAAATGTACATACGTTTAAGTAATTTATCGCTTTGCATCCCGGTTATGGGAACAGCTGCAAGATCCTCTATTACAGACCCTCCATATGCTGTAGGTGTTACAACTTCTACTCTATGTTCCAACTTTGATGTTATATGTGGAAACATACTTTCATAAGCCATAAAATGATACAGGGAAAGCCCTTCAACAACAAGAACCACAGTGTGTGTGACCTTTTTAAAAAATGTTTAATGTTTAACGATATTTCAGAAATTTTTAATATTATATATGTTCAATATTTATATTACCCTATTATATTTTTCAAGGTGACACCATCTTGCTGGCACATAGGGTGAGTGATGACCATGTAATGAATACAATAATAAATGTTGTATATCACTAAGAAAAATAGGAATCCTGTTTTCACTTTTAGCATTAATAGTTAAGCTAGCACTTTCACCAGCTACTTTTAAATGAAATCGAGGTATTATTTTAAGTCTCTTTTTACGTTCTCTTAATTCCTGTTTCAATTTTAGATACTCGTCTCCACTTAATCTGTATTGCCAAATAAAAATAATTTATATTATTATATATCACACTAAATATATATATATATACAAACATTTTACAGTATACAAACCTAGGCTTTTTGTTAGCAAGTGTATTTGATTCTTCTATACCTCCTACATTTTCTTTTTTAGTAGAATCTTCCAAAAGAGTTTCTTTTAAATCTTCATTACATGGACGTTTACGTGTGACATTATCTTCCATGGAGACTTGACTGCTGTCTGTATCATTTGTATTTGACTGATCTGCTTCTATAGACTAAAATAATATTTATCATATGAACTTCACAACAAAAATATTATAACTCAGTCAAGTATACTAACAGCTTTCTTAAGAGCAAGCATTTTAGCTTCTCTATCTTTATCATTTAATTTAGTTATTTCCAGAAGTGCAGCCATCTTCTTTTTCTTTTTTTCTATTCTTTGTAATTGTTTTGTTGTTAAATTCTTCATAATATTTCTTTTTGTTGTATTTTTTGAAAAAGATTAAAGTTAAGTACCTTAAAAACACAAGTAACAAAAACTTTGATGTAAATTTATAATTCAAATAGACTGTCAGTTTATTTTCCCACATTTTAGATATTAATAAAAGAAATTTTCATGGTTCATATAAAATAGTTTCAAATTTAATAAGGAAAAAATAATACGAATATAAATTTAGTGGCACACATATTTTTAAATAAAACTTATAAATTATAATAGAAGTCTATACATAAGATATAATAAATGATGGACTTAAAACTTATTTCATAGTATACATTTTTTTGACAAAGTAAATGTATACATGAGGTTATATGTGAAACTTAGCTTTAATATTAAAATTGGATATTAAAAATGAATTGTCAATTAGAATTACCTGAAAATTGAATTAAAGGGAAAAATATTTGTCTGTTATACAATGTTAAAGAAATGTTGTACATTTCTATACAAGAAATGTAGATATGAGGGCTGGATATAACCCTTGACAAATAAATACATTTGTTCATATAAAAATTCAGAAACAGAGTTCTTGAATTTCATGTGAAAAGGTTTACACAATAATCTTTCAATTTGATATTCACTATAAGAATGTATCTATAATAAGTTTTATCGTTTTCCTCCCCATTACTTGGTTACCATCCATTGTTAAATACTAAAATTGCCACTTGATAAATGGCACAGCATATGTTTTATAGAAGTATATAAAATATACATTAAGTAGTAAGTACAAAACTGCTTGATTTATTTTAATGACACAGAACGATAGATGTATTTAAATGAGGAAATACAAACATAAACTTTGATGGTCTGCATAATTGTTTGTTTATTTATATCATGCAATTTTTTCAAATCGTTTACGTGATAAAAAAACAAATTAGTAGAATGAACTTTTGAACAAAGGCAAAAATTATTATTATAAAATCTATAGCAAGTAATTCACGTTTTGTTTACATTTAATTAATATTGGTTATAACGAATAAAAAGAAATAATACCATGACTGATTATGAGTAAGGTTATGTCTTCACTGTCTTTGCTTCTCAGAAAGGTGACAATATTAACACATATAATCCATATAGTACACACACAACTTATAGTTTGATATTCTTGATTAATTCGAAAATGAATATAACTTAGAAAGTTTGATGTTTCATCAACCATAAATGTGGAAACATTAAAGAATACATGTTACTCTTCTATTGTGTAATATATCATCGCTAGAGGTCAGCATGCAATAATTACAGCAAAATTATATTTATTAATGGAGTCTGGTATTAATGAATTGAATGAATTGGATGAATTGAGAAATATTATGTATATAAATTTAATATATTCTTAAAAATTTTAATAATCTTAAAATAAAATACTTTTTTAAAAAAAGCCGTTTGCTTTTAAGGAATACGAGTAAGTTTTATTCTGTTTTCATTTTCCGTGATACTATTGGTGATTCTATAAAAATTTCTATTTTTTAAAATAAAAAATATATAGTAAAAAGATTATTATAAATATAAAGTGCTATACTAATATTTGTATGGAAAACTTATTAACTTAAGAATGTTCTCTGTTACAAAAATAATATTTTTTATATTGTAATATGATTGGATAAAATTTTGTATACAAATGATAATAATTTTGAAACTTTTTATTCTTGACCTTGTTTTTTGTTTGAAAAATATATTTCTAGTTCATGTGCTAAATTATATGCTTTGAATCGTGCATAAGAAACAAGTGTCCCTTTCTCCAATCAGGAACGTAATAGTAAGCATAGTACGTATATAAAAATTATACTGAATTTTTACTTCTGTTTCTCGTTGCGGTCTAATTTTTATTTAATATTATGTAAATTACAATACGAATACTTTTTATTATACTATATTAAATGACCAATCTAATTTTTCAATGTATGTGAAAAATTTAAGAATATCAATAAATATCAATAAATATGAAAGTATGTAAATAAATTCAATAAAAAATATAGAATTATTAAAAATGACGCAATTAATAAAGTAATATAAAATCATAAATGCTAAATAAATAAAAAACATCTTATCTATCATTAAAATTTGCAAATATTTTATTAAAAAATTCTGAACCATATAATTAAACTTAATTTTAACACATTGCATATATTTTATTTGATAAATAAAATTTAACAAATCGATTTTAATCGTAGATCTAATACAGATCGATGCATCGATGTCGAGAAAGATCATAGGTACGCTACTGTCAGAGAAAGCGAGTATTCACGACAGTGACACAAACATCCACTTAAGATACATTATGTGTATATACAGAGAAGATCAAAAGATTCTAAGCGTGTACGATTATGCGCTTTATGCATCGGTGTGCAGTCCCCACCCGCACGGTGAAAACATATTTTTCCTTTGAATCTATTTCTTTCTTTACGAAGTAGCTCGCGGTGCATTAGTGTAAAATGCTTTTCTATACTGGGTGTCTGATATTTTTCCTAGTAAATCATGGCAGCTTAGTTTACCCGTAACTTAGTTCAAATATTTTTAAATATATATTAATTAATTAATAATTACCTTAATTTATTCATCTTATTTATTCAAATGGTTCAAATAAATAGAGCAGATTTAAGACCATTTTATCGATGATTAGCTTTAATCGATGATAATAATTACCGAAGCAATCGGATATATCGAATATATCGATATCGCTTCAAATTATCGACATTTAATGACTCTATTATATCTATTTCTGTATTAAATTCATTAAATAGTGAAATTTGTGAATTATTATAAAGGCGCAAATATTGCTAGAAAATTATTAGCCATAATTTTAAGTAATAAAATGTTGCTTAAAACTGTTACGGTGTTTTTACATTAAAGAAAAGTAGTTGATAGCTGAGTTTAATAGAGCATACCAACTCTTCGATTTCTAATGAATCGAACTGAATAACAATGTATTATCAATGTTGTCTCTATAAGTCTCATTTAATATAAACGTAATATGCATGTTATAAAAAAGCATACGATATTTTCTTTCGAAAAATTAAGATCTCGAATTTCTGTTTCGAGATCGCAGTCCGATTAATCGGTTTTTAAATAACAATTTGTATACGTACTTATAATTAGTATCGATGTCAACTGTTACATACGTCTGTATAATTGCAAAAGTAGTTTGCGATTAAAACCGTCAGTTCATGTACTCATTATAATGTAGTAATTAACATTAGTGGTAGAAATTGAGGTGAACTACTCTTTTATGTGGATTTGTATGAACCTGTTTTTTCGTTTTGAAAGGTTAAGAATACATCTGTTCTGAGATAGTGTCGATTGGCTGGTAATGATATGTTCCAGTAGCTTTCGTGTAACAAAACTTTGTAACTGCCAACCAAAGAACACAGTATGATCAGTTTATTTAAAATATTAGAATTTTCTAAGGAAAATTAGTTTTGCTGAATTAGCATTTTTATGAAAAATCAATTTGCTCAATTTGGTTAAGGGCTAGAATTTTCTAGGCTGAATTTATCGTATCATAACCTTCTCCTTTTAATACAAAATTTGATTATTCCAAAGTTCATTTGTTACATTGTAATATTAAATATCGAGTCTTTAATTACCTTAAAATTTTTAAATTTTGTAACAGTTTTTAAAGAATTGTTTTTAGAATTTTCGAAGGTATCTTAAACGTGAAGTTAGTCAAAAATAAGATCATACTTCTTGCTCTGATAGGACATAAAACCTTTTTTCATAACTATTTTATGACTAAGTTTTTAATAATAATCAGCCGTTGCTCATTTTCATTCGTTATTATGTTAATGAAGCAATGGTATAACTGTAGCTATAAATTCACAATAGATCATATCATCATTAACACAAGAGTCACGTATTTCTTTTTATCTGCCATTCATCGAGTTAATTGCTAAACGGGATACAGTACGGTGAAATTAGAACGAAGATGACGACGAAAACGAGTATGATGACAACTGTCTGTTTTGTGTAGAAGACGAATGTTTTTTCAATTTAATTTTTAAATTTAATTTTTAGTTGAATTTAAAAGTGTATGTTAATAGACATTAATAGCCATTCTTAGAAAACTTGCATACATACGTATTTGAAAGATTAGTACCAAAAAATGGTTTAGCTTACACAGAAACAATACTTGGAATATATTATTATTGTTTCAAAAGGTATAGTATTGTGTACTTTTTTAAAAATGATATTAATACAATAAATGTTAAGATATTTTATATGTTTTTTACACTTAATTTAAGTTAATGATTTGTGTATAATTTTATGTTGTAGTTAATAAATGAAGAATAAATGCGACTATTGAACGAATTTTATATCGTTTTATATGCAAAATTGAAGAAGGAGTGGAACAATCTTTAATCGGTGAGTGATTAGAGTAATCTATAATAATTGAAATTGTATCCCAATTTATTAATTATGTTTCTATATTATTTTACTTTGACTGTGCACACAAAAATTACTTTAATATCTTCTTCTAGCTTTAACATGTTGTCCCAATACGTTATAACATCATTGATTTTCCTTCTTTCTTTATAATATTTCAATTTTTTTAATACACCACAAGAAAAACGTTAAGATACCGGAAGGCAAAGTATCATAAAGAAAAGCAAAAAATCAACGATGCTACAACATTCTAGTAAATAATTGATTCATAATACATATGGTCATAATACAAAATTATACATCATACAAAATCATGAACTTATTAGGAAAATAATTATCAATTATAAATCAATAATGTATTACTATATCTTAACATTGTTTTATAATTATTATTTTTGTCGAATATTGATAATTATACTACGGACGTTTATGCAATTTCGTACTTTTATGAATGTGACTAAACAAATGGAATTTAAATAGAAAGTTCTTCCATTCATTAAACATAGGCACTCTACTTTTGATATTTTACGTATTTTTACATATGGCTATCCTGTGTAGGTAAATTTCTACACGTAAAAATGTTCTATTCATTTTTACTTATAATTATATGATTACAACTGTGCAATAAAATGAACGAACGATTAATTCGATTTTTCATTCGTTTCAAAAATAATCCTTAGTATTTTTTAAGCAAGCCAATGTTCGTAAAATGTGATATGTATATGATATCCTTGTATCTTCACGCGACAATTTAACCAGAGAAAGTCTCATTCACGTATTCGAATGAGTTGAAATCAGGTCAAACAGAAGGAATACACGCTGTTTATGCTTCCTTCTCAATTATTGCAATGAATCGTTGCATTTTCAGTGATCTTCGTGTTTTTGAAAAAAACATACGTTACAGCAATATTTTGTAAACACATATGTGTATCCTAGAATTGCTAGAAATTACAGAACACGACTAGTCCAGGAATTACGATGATCGTGCGATTGCTTGCGGGTGTAGGTACGTTTCCCACTTTCTCCACGAAACGTATTTCGCAGTTCGTACGAACATTTACGCGACTCTTGCTCATCTTCTCGTTCCTGAGCAATTTGATCGGCTCTGATTGGACGAAATGAGCGTAGACAATACGTTGGGAAATGCAGTGAAAGTACAATGTCTTGTACAAAAAATATTCCCTTGACTGTTGTTTGATATAAAATGATATTCGAAATTTGTACGTGTCAGCGGTGAAATCAACCAGTGGAGATAAACGTAAATATGCGCAATATTCGAAATATAGTATTCGCTATAATATTTAGCAGGTCAAACAATTTTCTATCTAGGCTCTGTTTTTATAATGGTATATAATTTGATTAATTCAATTTGCCCGGAAAATTTAATTTGGCAAGAAAAATGGTGCCAATGTTCAGGAAGGATGAAGAAAATTGGAAAGTGAGCATGAGTAGGTGTTCTTGTAACGATAAACAGTATTGTTACAGAAACTGTGAATGGAATTTTGTTCATTGAGACGATTGTAATCTCCATATAGATTACATTCTACTATATTTTACAGCACGTTGTACAGTATACATTGTCAAACAAATTAAAGTTAGAATATATCGGTTTCTTATATTACTATTAGGTTACGACTTTTAAGAAACGAGTAAACAAAATCTCTGCTCTGGACTATTCTCGTACGAAACTTCACGCAAGGTCGTCGTTCCATTGATTCATAAAATCCTCGTGTTTTGTTCCTTCGGATGGGGCATTATCTGCTTCGTTTAATATTCATAATTATATTCGGAATAAATACGATCGAAAGATAAGAAATAATTATATCCTTCTGGTCTTAA